GCAGGAAAACAATGAGTAAACAATGATATCATCAGAAAATGGAGTCCCACCTAGCAGTTAAAATTAGTACCTTGGAGTAGCTACCACAATAACTACAGTTGAACAAGCATTGTGATGCTCGTAATTTATTTAAAGTTTTAAAATGTGACAACAAGCCTAGCAACACGGATCCGTGGGTAAAGGAGCCTGCCACCAAGTCTAACTAACACACACACACACACACACACACACGCGCACACACACACAAATAAATGTACCAATTAAAATCACCCTAGTAATAGAATACTGCTTTATCAATACTTAGAGTTAGTATATCAGTAAGAATTAGCTGCTAAGTTATGCCCAAATACAGGAAATATATGATTCTTGATTCAGCCCTGCCCAGAGGTGGAGAAACATCAGGACTCAGTATCGACCATTTTTCACTTACTTGGCCCATGAATAAGTCACTCAATCTTTCTAAGCCTGTTTCCTTTTCTGCAAGTTCTTTTTGTATTGTTGCTTCTCTCTCTCTCTCTCTCTCTCTCTCTCTCTCTCTCTCTCTCTCTCCCTCCGTCTGTCTGTCTGTCTGATGCTTGTATGTAGCTGCGGCCAAGCAGAGCATGCAGAGGCCAGAGCAGTGTCTTCCTCCACGGCGCTCTGACTTATTTCGTTGAGACAGGGTCCCTCAGGGAAATAGAAATTCACCATTTTGGCTAGGCTGGCTGGACAGCAGTTCTCAGGATCCTCCTGAAGCACACAGCCACTGCTGGCTTTTTAAGCGGGTATCAGAGATCCAAACTCAGGACCTCATGAGTTTGAATGTATGAGTAGCAAGATGCTCTTACTGAGCCATCTTCCCAGTCCTCTTTTCTGCAAGTTTTCACAGAACATGTCCTAGAGATGACTCAGGGTCTCCCTAGATATCCTACTCTTCAGAGTGTTAGCAAGGCTAACAAAGGGACTCCCAGGAGTCCTGGGCTCAAAATATAATCAATTGCTTGAGTGCGTGATAAATGGTAGCTTTTCCCTCTACTGCATTCTTCTGTGTCCAGCTTCTCCCAATTCTTCTGTATTAAGTGAGGTTTTAATTTTCCACCTCCTTGATTTACAGTGTGGTTCCAAATGTCACGAGAACACTCACCTACCTCAGGGTCTCCCTAGATATCCTACTCCTCAGAGTGTTAGCAAGGCTAACAAAGGGACTCCCAGGAGTCCTGGGCTCAAAGATCTAGTTCTGTTTTCTATTTTCTGCGTGGCTTTGCTTCACTTTTCTGTGTCCGCGTCTCCTCACTTGCAAGAGGAGGGCAGTAATACCATCTAC